GTCTTCTCTAATTTTTAAAAAAATCTTTATATTTTAGAATGTGTTTTCATGATTTTTGTTTTACTTTCTGTACATTGCCCAGAGTAGCAATTTGCTACATGGGTGGTATAAAAACTGAATGAATAAATTAATAAATGAATAAATATCTCTACATTGTTGATTTAATGCAGTTATGAAAACAAATTATACTTCTGTCACATAAACTTAACTTTTAATACAGTATTTGCTTTGTCCATGCAAAATGGCAAAAAAACTATACAGAGAAAAATATACACTTTACAGGTTTGCGTTAAATGAATAATCCAATCTATGGAAAATATATGCAGCACAATCCTAAACATACTTACTCAAAAATAAGTTCTTTAGAAGTTATTTTCTCTTAACCATGTTTAAGACTACAGAATAAGCCATACCTTTTAATGAGTTAAGATTCACAGATCTTTAGTTTACACATCAATAGTGTTTTATTTGAAGTAAAACAAAGAGTTAATAATAGTTTAAAAATACTACACCCTTGCCAATGTCAATGATGGAGCTTGGAACCAATCCCCAGTAGATACTGCAGTCCTACTGTACAAGTAGGATCAGACAAGATAAGCAATTGCATCTGAATGACACAGCTTTTACACAGCCTCAAAAAATTAAGTTTATCAAAGATTTTTCTGAAAACACAGGAAAGTTATGTAAACCCCACCCTTCAAAATATGAATGCTGAAAGATGAAGCATTCCAATTTTAAGATGTATACTTAATATAATCATTGGCTTGGAAAATGTATTCATTTGTTCATGTATTACAATGATGTCCATTTGTATGGATGATCAGAGAGTAATTTGGTAAATATCTCATCTTTCCCACATTTGAAAATTATTATAACCGTAAAGAAGGGATAAAATTAAAGCGTGCCCTCAACTTTATCCAAATAATTAAATCAACTTGAAAATATTTTTCCACAACAGTAATATGAGTACATGCTAAAATGTTAAAAATCAGGAAGTAAAATGAAAGATTTCTGAAAACTAGTTACATTTTGCTTTGAGGCTTGATTTCCTGACCTTTTATATTTCAAAGCTTGGTAACACTGTAAACATTTGTATAAACAATTACAAATAAAGAAGTCAAAACTTAATGTAGTGCTGGCTTTTACTCTTAATGTTCCGTTCTATTTACAGCTCTAACCATTTAACACAATGCTCCTACATCAATAAACAAAGCCAGTTCTCTTCTTACAAGCACACTGGTATTGATGTACACTGAACAGTCTGAGTCTTTTTTCAATCAGAATAACTTAGAAATGTTCCATGAATTACAGTTCAAAAGCAGAAACAAGAAAAATAATTACCAGGGTGGAATTCTGCCGGCAGAGAGTTTTCCCTTCTGTCCTTCTTTCAATAGTCTGTTTGCCACAGAAACAGGATTTTTAATTCCTGAAAGAGAACAAAGATGGCTTAAGAAGATTTTCTAAATTGTAGTTCTGCTAATCAATTCCTGCAAAATATATATCTGCCAAGAAGAAAAAGAGGTTACTTACCTGTAACCATAGTTCTTTGAGTGGTCCTCTGTGAATTCACACAACCCGCCCATCCTTCCCCTCTATCCGTCACGGGTTAATTATATAATTAATTAATTCTTTCCTTCATACCCGGTGGATAAAATTCAGGAACTGGGGAAGATGGTGGGTGGGAGGAGCATATACCTCATGGAGGATCACACCATAAAATTATTACTTTTAGCTCTAGAATCTTCCGAGAGAGTCAGCGCAGGCGCAGACAATACCCATATGTGTGAATTCACAGAGGACCACTCAAAGAACTATGGTTACAGGTAAGTAACCTCTTTTTCTTCTTGGCAGATATATATTTTGCAGGAATTGATTAGCAGAACTACAATTTAGAAAATCTTCTTAAGCCATCTTTGTTCTCTTTCAGGAATTAAAAATCCTGTTTCTGTGGCAAACAGACTATTGAAAGAAGGACAGAAGGGAAAACTCTCTGCCGGCAGAATTCCACCCTGGTAATTATTTTTCTTGTTTCTGCTTTTGAACTGTAATTCATGGAACATTTCTAAGTTATTCTGATTGAAAAAAGACTCAGACTGTTCAGTGTACATCAATACCAGTGTGCTTGTAAGAAGAGAACTGGCTTTGTTTATTGATGTAGGAGCATTGTGTTAAATGGTTAGAGCTGTAAATAGAACGGAACATTAAGAGTAAAAGCCAGCACTACATTAAGTTTTGACTTCTTTATTTGTAATTGTTTATACAAATGTTTACAGTGTTACCAAGCTTTGAAATATAAAAGGTCAGGAAATCAAGCCTCAAAGCAAAATGTAACTAGTTTTCAGAAATCTTTCATTTTACTTCCTGATTTTTAACATTTTAGCATGTACTCATATTACTGTTGTGGAAAAATATTTTCAAGTTGATTTAATTATTTGGATAAAGTTGAGGGCACGCTTTAATTTTATCCCTTCTTTACGGTTATAATAATTTTCAAATGTGGGAAAGATGAGATATTTACCAAATTACTCTCTGATCATCCATACAAATGGACATCATTGTAATACATGAACAAATGAATACATTTTCCAAGCCAATGATTATATTAAGTATACATCTTAAAATTGGAATGCTTCATCTTTCAGCATTCATATTTTGAAGGGTGGGGTTTACATAACTTTCCTGTGTTTTCAGAAATTTTTTTGATAAACTTAATTTTTTGAGGCTGTGTAAAAGCTGTGTCATTCAGATGCAATTGCTTATCTTGTCTGATCCTACTTGTACAGTAGGACTGCAGTATCTACTGGGGATTGGTTCCAAGCTCCATCATTGACATTGGCAAGGGTGTAGTATTTTTAAACTATTATTAACTCTTTGTTTTACTTCAAATAAAACACTATTGATGTGTAAACTAAAGATCTGTGAATCTTAACTCATTAAAAGGTATGGCTTATTCTGTAGTCTTAAACATGGTTAAGAGAAAATAACTTCTAAAGAACTTATTTTTGAGTAAGTATGTTTAGGATTGTGCTGCATATATTTTCCATAGATTGGATTATTCATTTAACGCAAACCTGTAAAGTGTATATTTTTCTCTGTATAGTTTTTTTGCCATTTTGCATGGACAAAGCAAATACTGTATTAAAAGTTAAGTTTATGTGACAGAAGTATAATTTGTTTTCATAACTGCATTAAATCAACAATGTAGAAATATTTATTCATTTATTAATTTATTCATTCAGTTTTTATACCACCCATGTAGCAAATTGCTACTCTGGGCAATGTACAGAAAGTAAAACAAAAATCATGAAAACACATTCTAAAATATAAAGATTTTTTTAAAAATTAGAGAAGACAGGCAGCAAGAAACTGTTAAGACAGCAAAGAGGAACCCTAAATACATGATATATATATATATTTTAAAAACTAGTCATGCCTTTTTAATATGAAGTCTCTCTTAATCTTCCCTTTTTTCTAGTTTTTTAGTTGGTGAGGGAGCTTTCAAATGGGCAGTGGATCATGGGATACCTGCCTGTCCTCCAGGTGTCATGGCAACAAGTGAGTAAATGATTGCTAGGTATTGTTTTGAGACACATAGTCTGAGAAATGTGGAAATCAATGGGATTTAAGAAAGTCTTCAAACACTTAGGCATCAATGGAGCTTATCATTGTCCCACATATAACTATTTTGTTAAGGTTATATGTGAGACACCATAAATATAATCTTTGGTAATGATATGTTGTGATTAGATTTATGAATAGGTTTTAAATACAATAAGACTTTATATCCACAGGACTGGTATCCATGGTTCTACTTTCCCAGTGTTTGCCACAGCCCTAAATGCAACATACAAGAGTGCCCTTCTGCAGCTATGGTCCTACTGTCAGCTCACTGGTAGTGTAACATTCAAATGTAACATTTAAATAGATTTGACTGTTTGAACTTCAGCTCCATTTTTTATGAATGCATTTTGTAAGAGAATCTTTGACAGTGGACAACAAGCTTTTTCTGCTATTGCTGAAGAAGCGTTTTACAATAGCAGGTGGGCATCAGAGGAAAAAATAGTCAATAATTTCAGCTGCAGCAATCTTTTGATATGCTAAAAACAGAAATGGTTGAATAAAGCATCTTTTCAGTAGTCTCCTGCATGTCCTGTTTAATACTGATAAAAACAACATTGCTATCAATATTTAACAGGAGTCAACTTCAGAAAAATGTTAATGGAAGGCATGTGCTTTATTTTTAGAAGTCATGTGGTTTATGCCAGTCTTGAAAATTGATGCATATTTATCTGGAACTATTATGTAAAGTTTCAATCCTCTAATTTTTGTCCCTCCCATTTATAAATGTTTTCATCATTGCGTCCTCTTGATCTCACAATATTCTGTATTAACAATTACTAAATTTTCTCTATATCTAATACCTTCATTTTCTTTTTGTCTTCTCATTCATTATTTTTATTTATTAAGTATTGTAACATATTTCTTCTTGGCATTACATAATTTAAAACAATAATACTTCCCAAAATCCATAAAAATCAAGCAATTTAAAGCTAATAAATGTTATCATAGCACAAAATATGAAAGCATAAAATATAAAAACAAAGCCAAACGTGAGGTTTTAAGAGTTAAAATTGTATCATTTGGACTAAAATAATACTATTATATTTGGTATTTGAGTACATTTAAAACACTAAAACTATCAAAATATTTTAAAAACCTGAAAGAACAAGAAAACCGGCATTGAAAAGAGACCAGTATTGGCTTATTTTGGGAGAGAACTCTAAAGCTGGAGGGCCATCACAAAAAACTTTCCCTTTTCTTGCCCTCCTCACAGTCTCAAAATGGCTATCAAACTTTATCATATTGTGCAGCTGAGAATTTTGCCTCATTGTCAACAGAACTGTATTTAAGACCATAAACTGCAGTAGTGGGAATGGGGAGAAAACGCTTTCTGAGTGGCACAGAGGGGCATCTGTAGTAAACTTTGGGGTTCAATTGTTTTCCTCAGTGTTCAGTTTAGATAGCCTCCAGCTTGCTATCAGCTAAAGTGTCCAGCAAGAAGTACTAATGTTTCCCCCATGATTCCTTATTGCTGAAGTTGCCTGTGAGCAGAAGGAGACCTTCTTTTATATTGAGGGTTTTAGCAGTTGTACTATCTGGGAAGAAGAGTTCATGTTCCATCTCCCCAGAAGCCTGCTGCTCACTTGAACATATTGGGGCAAAGAAGACAAAAGGCATAGGAGGCAAATGAAAATAAAGTGTGTCAAGTACAGTGTTCTTGTTGGGAGAAAGCTTTCCATGTACCCTTTTATCCACTCCGGCTTTCCATTTTAAATCTAATTATTGAATTTATTGTTTTGTGGTTATGTGCTGTCATGTTGCTTCTCCATTAATTGATATACTTAATATACTTATTTAATGCTTGTGTTATTAAAAGAATAGTTAGATATGCCATTTCTTCATGGTTTGTAGACTCTTAGGTTTATGTCAGCTGATACCAAAAAACTAAGGACATTCTAATTTCTCATACCGTAGGTGAGGCATGCTAATGAAAAGTTAGTGGTGCCAATGCAGTACTGTATACAGTCATGTGGAAAAAAGGACACTCTCTTTGAAGTCTATGGTTTTACATATCAGAACATAATAAAAATTAGCTGAAAATTAGGTAACTACAACCTCAGATGAACAACAAAACATGACATATTATTTATTTATTTAATAAAATTATTTAAATTTGATTTATTTAACAAAAATAAAGCCAAAATGGAGAAGCCATGTGTTAAAAACTAAGTACACCTCATGATTCAATAGCTTGTAGAACCACCTTTAGCAGCAATAACTTGAAGCAATTTTCTGTGTGATTTTATCAGTCTCTCATGTTGTGGAGGAATTTTGGCCCACTCTTCTTTACAACGTTGCTTCAGTTCATTAAGGTTTGTGGCCAATTGTTTATGCACAGCTTACTTACGGTCCTGCCACAGCATTTCAGTCTGATTAAAGTCTGAACTTTGTGACTGGGCCATTGCAAAACTGTCATTCTCTTCTTTTTCAGCTATTCTGTTGTAGATTTGCTGGTGTACTTGGGATAATTGTTCTGTTGCATGATCCAGTTTCAGCCAGAGTTTAGCCGTTGGACAGATGGCCTCACATTTGACTCTAGAATACTTTGGTATACAGAGAAGTTTGCAGCCAGTTAAATGACCACATGGTGCCCAGGTCCTGTGGCTGCAAAACAACCCCAGATCATCACACCTCCATCATCGTGCTTGACAGTTGGTATGAGGTGTTTGTGCTGATATGCTGTGTTTGGTTTCTGCCAAACGTGGCACTGTGGTCACACTTGCTGATGATCAATTATTCAAGGGCATCTGCTTAGGAGTACCTCGCTGCTAGTTAGCTTCTTTATGTAAGCAAGTAGGGTGTACTTAGTTTTTCACACATGGCTTCTCCATTTTGGCTTTATTTTTGTAAAATAAATCACAACACGGTGTAATACGTCATGTGTTGTTGTTTATCTGAGGGTGTATTCACCTAATTTTCAAACCTGCTAAGGACCAGATGGTTTTTTTTATTATGCCCTGATAAGTAAAACCATAGCACTCAAAGAGGGTTACTTCCTTTTTCACATGACTGTATATTAAATAATGGCTAGAATCCATTTTCATAGATTTCGCATAACAAAGTGTAAATCTCATTGGTAAATTCCCACAAATTACTTTATAACTGTAAGCATCTGCTATTGCTTACCTAGTTATGTAACTCAGCATGCAGTAGCGAATGTCCAAGTTGAACTCCTAACTTGTAGCGGTTCAGCTAGAATTATTGTAATTGTATTACTTCAGCAGGCATTTCTAGTAGGTTTAGGCCACTTGTGTCTTTCTTTGTCTTGATCTGTATCTGTTTGTTTCATATTTATGCGGAGATGTATTGGTTACTGTCGATAATATTTTAAATAAGCTAATAATAGTGGTATAGGTTTGCTTGGTTCTCTGCCCTGTCAGAAACTCTGTGTGAAGTGCGATGTTGCTTGTACAAAATGTGCATCCAAAATAGTTAATGGAGTTGACTGGAAAAAATAGATTTATCATAATCCTCATTCTGTATCTCTTTTTCATGGGTTTGATTTTGTCTGATGCTGCTGATTCTATTTTTTTTTAAGGAACCAGAAAACTACGTTGTGTGTACTCTGGGTATGGATGCTTGCATTATAGTCTTATATTTCTTAAGCTGATCCTTTTAAAGAAACTGTTAAAAATGAGAAGTGTTTCGATTCAATGTGATTCTGTATTTATAATTACATATAGTTACTAAATGTAAGCATTGTGAATGATTAGCAGGAGAACTGTTGGTCTGAGATACATCTTCAACAGAATTTCATTTTCAAATATGTTTCCTTAATTATTTTCATCTGGCATTGCCCTTGATTGTAAGCTATCAAGCTCTTCATTTTCTGCCCCATTTCAGTACACTCTATGAAATGACTGCCAGGGGGTGCTGTTAGATTGGCCACAGGTTCTTCACTTTCTTGAAGATATAGAAGTCCAGAGGCAATCGTGAAATGATGGTGATTAAATTGACATGGCGAATGATTTTGAAGCGGTTTGATTGCTAGTAAAGCCTATTTCAGTTTTTACTTTCAGATTTTAGGTTTTTTGAAGGCAAAGCAAAATGAATCTGAATTATATTTTTAAAAACATTTAAATTGCAGATTAAATTGAATAGGTAGTTGAAAGAAAGACATGAATGAGCTTAATAGAAAATACCGTTCAAAATAATGTTAAGTTTCGATAAAAGGAATGAATCTGATGTTTTATCTAAATAACCTGTAAACATTTGAGATAGAAGAGAGGCAATATATAGCAGTTCCGCTTGCTCCGTAATTTGTCCAAAATGCTGCAAATGAATTGCATGTAGTCTTGATTCTTGTAGCTAGCCCAGTTTAAGTCACAGGTGGGGAGGACCTTCCTGCATTCTGCTAGTGTCCTTTCTGCTTCTCCCAAAATTCCTCCCTCCTTTGCTGCTGCCACTCTTCTCTTATACATCTAATTTTTCATGTCCTAAAGCATAATTGTTTCTTGTACTCTATGGGATTTTTCTCAACCCCCCCTTGAGAGATAAACACCTATGGTAGTATGATGGTCTGGAGTGTGTTTTTCTTCTCTAGTCTTCAGTACTCCTTGGTTTCTCTTGCAAAAATAGTTATCTTGAGAGAGAGCCAACAGAATACAGAAAGCTTGTCATTTCTAATGCCCTCTGTAGAGTTGAATCTGGGGTAGTTTCACTTGACACTAAATGTCTGGTTCCAGATGATTAGTTATTAGTGCCAACTACCACAACCCCCTTAGATTTACCACTCTGATTCTATTAGTTTTCATTCAGGCTGGCTGAAAATCACTGAAGTGAAACTGCAATATTAATAGTTCATCTCCCACCTCTGTTACACCTAGAGTTTCTCAGAGTAAAAGAAATAATTAAGCAACAGACTTTCATATAGCCACCTAACCTGACGGAGTGCGGGCCTGGTGTTTCTTGGTGCTTGGGAATCATGGCAAATCTTTACCATAGCAGATTATTTTGTAGGGATGTGAATGGTGATTTTTTTGATTCCATTATGGGTTCTTTCAGAATATGGCTGTTTTGGTTTTGGTTTTTTTGTTTACTGGTCCTTTTATTTTACACATAGGAGATTGTTTCTTTCATGTCATTTCATTTCAAAAATGCTCAGTATTTTCTGGTACTAATTCAAAAAGAGGCCAGTGGAGGTGATGGCATTTCAGTGGAACTATTTAAAATATTAAAAGACAACACTGTTAAGGTGCTACAGTCAATATGCCAGCAGGTTTGGAAAATTCAGCAGTGGCCAGAGGATTGGAAAAGATCAGTCTACATCCCAATCCCAAAGAAAGGCAGTGCCAAAGAATGCTCCAACTAATGTACAATCACACTCATTTCACATGCTAGCAAGGTTATGCTTATGCCCAACAGTGCTTCAATTTGTTTTATTTAATAATCATAATAACTCATGAACTGCTAGATAGCTCAGTGGTTTAGGTATCTGGCTGTAGAGTCAGAGGTTGGAAGTTCGATTCCCTATTGTGCCTCTTTGACCGAGGCTGGATTCGATCCATTGGGTCCCTTCCAGCTCTGTAGTTCTATACTTCTGTTTTCTCATGTACTGGCAATATAGTCTGTCTTCCGTATGTTTTCAGTGGCTGATCTGTGATTGTAAAAATAGATGCATTGCTTGATCAGCTGTCCATTTTCAACCATAGTATGCCTCTCTCACAGGCCATAGGTGCTATGATCACGTTCATGCCTATAAATGATGTTATTGGCCTACAGTTCTGTATATAGGAGAAACAGCAGTTTCTGTACAAATGACAGGTCTCTTACTAAGGCAATTATTCCTTGGAAATTGGAGTCATGTCACATCACTCAATGGTGACAGCAAGTAAGATCTACAGAATCATTCTGAATGTTTCACTGTTTTATAGATGTTTAAATTTTTAAAATTGATGCTGCAAACCTTTATAATTTGTAATTTATTTTCATTACCAGAAAGAAAGTTGAATTAAGGTGCTGTTTACTTTACAAAAGTTTAAAAACTGAGTTGTCCTATGTAGGGGCATGTGTAAGGGAGTAGGATAGCATCACGACAGTGTAGCTAGCCATGATTGCTGACCCAGATGGAGAAAGCTGGAGCTCAAAATATTTTTTATTTAATAAAACTAGAGAATCCTGTGTATGTTTCATTGAGTTCTCTTATGGGTGAAAGGAGACATACAGCTGGAACAAATAAAAGGGATGTGAAGGTAATATAGATGTTATGCATGAAATAACATGAATCTTAATGTGTGTTCCTAGAAGTAAACACTATAGGCCAGTGGTCCCCAAACTTAGGCCTCCAGATGTTCTTGGACTACAACTCCCAGAAGCCTACACCACCACCTCTTCTGGCCAGGATTTCTGGGAGTTGAAGTCCAAGAACATCTGGAGGCCCGAGGTTGAGGACCACTGCTATAGGCAGTATGACAAATGTGAGGCAATTTTATAGATGCTTAACTATATATAGGTTGGCATAATTTGTATATAATTTTAAAAGGAGAGAAATAAGGATAGTTAGTTTAATTCAGGTCACATTTTCTAACAGAGCAGATTTAACAAAATGCCATAAGAAAAGAAATACCAGGATCAACGCTGGAAGAAATGTTGTAGATCATCAAGCATAACTAGGGCACCTTCAGGAAGTATTAGACTTGAAATCAAGAGGAGAAGTTTCCATAACCTTACTGGTTATTTGATTGCTGAGCAGTTGCATTCAAAAGTCTCTCTATTTTATTACCTTTTGATATGAACTTCTTGTTGGAGGAGGCTCTTGAGAGTCCCCTGGAGTGCAAGGAGAACAAACCTATCCATTCTAAAGGAAATCAACCCTGAGTGCTCACTGAAAGGACAGATCTTGAAGCTGAGGCTCCAATACTTTGGCCATTTCATGACAATAGAAGACTCCTTGGAAAAGACCTTGATGTTAGGAAAGTGTGAGGGCAAGAGGAGAAGGGGATGACAGAGGATGAGATGGCTGGACAGTGTCATCGAAGCATCCAGCTTGAATTTGACCCAACTCCAGGAGGCAGTGGAAGACAGGAGGGCCTGGCGTGCTCTGGTCCATGGGGTCACAAAGAGTCGGACACAACTAAACGACTAAACATCAACAACAATGAATTTCTTAGATTTTGTTTCTGCTTCATTGAATATGTTAGGCAATGGCTTGGTAACATAAATTAACATCAGCTTCATAGTGTCCCTCCTGTCAGATCCTTTCCCTGATTGCTTGTTTACAACAGAGCATACTTTATGATTACATTTCAGTTGGCAAACTAGGGCTTGAGCTTGCTTTCTACACTAAAATTGGAAAGCAGCACATGTATATAATGCCTGTTCATTCTTCCCTTTTAGTTCCCTTTTGTCCTAGGGCCTTGCAAGACTTTAATTCTGTATTTTTTGCAGTGATTAGAGTCCTCAACTGGAATTGGCAAGATCTGAGTTCTAGTCTCCACTGGACCATGAAACTGACTGGTTTCCTTAACCACTAATTTTCTTCCCACTTGACCTACTACCTTGTTGCTGTGAAGGATGAAATGTACAGAAAGACAGCCATGTATAATCTCTTCAACTCATTCGTGTTTAAATGTAGCCGATTCTTTTGTTCTTTTCCCTTTTAGCCTAAGCTCTCTGTGGCACTGGTACTACTGCGCCACCATGATGGTACTTCTTCTCTTGCTGCCCTTGAAATGCGCTTAAACTAGGAGGTTCCCAGCCCTCCAAAACTAAATTTTGAGGGCAAAGGGGTTGCAGTGTAAAGGGGAGATATTATTCATTATTTCTAGTGGATTTTGCAGTTCCACCAGCGAAGTCTGTCGTTGGATTTTGCCCTGTATATTTATGGAGTACAGTATTGTTGAAAATCAATTTCTGTATATCAAATGCTATATCTCTACATACAGGATTGGAGCACAAATCTGTATGCACTTACTTAAGAGATGCCCCACTGAGCACAGAAGGAAATATTTCTGAATAAACATTCACAAGAATGCAATAGGACACAATCAGGGCTGTAAATGAGAGGACCTTGTGGAAGTTTCTTATTCATAGGGTTGTCATAAGTTGGAAGTGACTTGACAGTATATAACAACAACAAAAAGACTGCATTGCAAGTCAGGGAATACCTTGATTAGTAAACAATTATATGAGACAGTGTGAACTGCCCTGAGGGTATGTCTGGTGAATATTGTTCTGTTAGTATTTAATTACTTACTGATATACAGTACATGAATGCAATATAAAACATTAAGTAAAGCCACTACTAGATTTTAGTGGGAGATATTGCTGCTGCTTCCAAAGCATTTCATGAAACTGTTGCTTTTGTATGGATTTACCGTAATTGTATGGTAACTTAAACACTGTTAAATATTTTATAGGACTTAGCTTAGCAGCTTTTAAGAGAAACAAGAGGAAACTAGAACTGGCAGAAAAGGTGGAAACAGATCTTTTCCAGTTGAAGAAAAGAAGACAATCAAGTGAAAAGGTCAGCAGCTGTTCTCAGAGCTATTGATCACCCTTTAAATACCTGTTAGTCCATAGAATTCAGAGATTAAAATTAAAAATTTTTTTTGAGCTCTTGCTTCTTATTTGAATTGATGCTTGTTGAAGTATTCTTTGTCCTTACAGCAGTATTGAAACATGCATATATGTGTTTGTAGGGTAAACATATGTCTCTCTGTGTAGTCATGCATGCATGTGACTTTTTTTTTTCTTACAGCAATAACCTCTTCCACTAATTGAATGCTGCTATAAGGAGTCCCTGACAGTTGGAAGCAGTTTGTCTAGTGTGTGAAAACTCTTCGTGTTTATAAAGAATAGACTGCATGCAGCCCTTCTGTATTGTATATATATATATTACAATACTTTCACCCAAAAGGGACAAAAGTGGGAAGGAACTATCAAGGAAATAGAGTGATCTGATGGAGATGTAGCCATGCGTAGAGGAGAACCACTGAAATCAGTGGAACAAATTACTAATACCTAATTCAAATCCCATTGATTTCACTCTAAACTTAAGCTTGGGCTACTCTGCAAATGACTAAGGCTGGATGCAACCCACATTTTTGTTTACAAAGAAATTATTATGATTTATGAATTTTGTTCATTTTCACATTTTTACAAAGCACATGATGGCCCATCTTCTCTTGCTTACTTAAATTTGAGTTGGTGATGTAACTCAAAATGGTGTAACTTTTGAAGGTAAATTACTTTAAGTTAAAAAATTGTAATAGACATTATCTGTTGCATACTGCAGTGTGTGCATCAAAATACAGCTGATAATGTTTATGGTGGTTTCTTAATTTGGGGTAGTTTGCCTCCAGAAACACTGTTTGCATAGCTATAAGATTTGGCCAAAACCCATAAAAAGATAAACATGCATGAAAACATTTTGTGTAGTTTATAATATAAATTTAAGCGTTATGCCCAACTAAAATGGACCAACTGAATTAACAAGTCCCACTCATTCAGTAGGTCTGCTTTATTTGGGTTTAATCTCTCAGTACTGAGAACTGTTGTCATTGCAAAACTCATACATATGTCTCTGTGTATCCATGCATGTGATTTTTTCACTGGAAAAGGATGGAGTTTGAAATATCATGTATGTAAACACATCTGGCCACATATAGTATTGATGCAGCCCAGAAAAAAAATCACTGAAAAATCATGACTGATTTGCTTACTAAGTATCATTTCAGCGCACAAGGTTTTGCTAATGCCAAGTATATTTTGGATACAGATTTTGGATATCAAGAATAAAAAATAAAATTAATGATGTTTTGTACATCTTCCTTTGTTTTTTACATTTGTGGAGAGGATCACTTTACAAAAAAAAATCTATATGTTATTCAAGTAATGGTTCCTCCCTGCTGTTCCTCTCCATTACAGCTTTTTGTGCCCTTCAAACGCAACTCACAAGCATCAAGAGAATCTTGCTTATGGGGCAGGCTGGAAGAGCAAGTTCTTGGAAGTAAAAACCTATTTATTTTTACTCTCCAATTGTGTAAAACACATTTCATGTCCACATTTGTCCTTTATTGTTGTGTTTTGGCATTCACTAGATTAGCTGTCTGTACAGCCAAAAATTCCTTCATTGGCGTTAATGCAGAGGCTGAATGATCATTAGTAAAAAGTATTGCTTTGGACATGTTCTGAAAGTGATGCATGTTCATTCACATAGAGTGATTAAAAATTTTTGAAAGGGAGATTCCCCCCCAATGAATGTAGGTGGCTCTGTTAATGATTATTGTAGCAGGTGACCAATGTTAATTTATTAATTAACCAATTAATTTTAAGTCATCTTTTTTGAATGAGAAAAGTTTAAATGCATTTGTGCACATAAAGAGTCTTCAGTCTCTGTTCCCAGTGGTTTTTGAATGTATGCACAATTTTTCTTCTTATTCGGACTGATATCAAACAGATCAAACAAACTGGTGAGCCTTGATTGTTTTCATAATCTTTTCTTCTAAGAAGCTTTAAGCCTTTCAAGTCAAGCAAATTGCTTCATTGCTACAGTACAACTAAACAGAAGGGAACGTATACTCTGCTCTTTTCAGTGTAGCTGGTTAGATAGAGAGCTCCCATCAGTTGTTGGTTTTCATTAAGAGTCTTTGTGAAGGTCTGGTTGAGTAGTAAAGGAAAAGAGGATGGATGACCCTTAGAAGTTGCTGCTAATTAATATCCACAACACTTTTCTACAGCCCTTGATCATATCAGATTTAAGAGTGTACAGCATAAACATGGAAAGCAAGAAACTGGCAGAGAAATGTTCAAAACAAATAAAATCTTGCCTAATTAACACTGCAGTTTTTTCTTTTATGTACTCAAATGTACAGTCAGCTGCTCCCAATGGAGCCTGCTGTGAGGAAAGTGCATACTGGTTTGCAAATCCAAAAGAATAAATGCTTTCTGCTGGGATCCTACACATGTCAGCTTACAATTAAGCAGCACTGGCTGAAATCTTGTTGCTTTGTATAAGCTAGATCATAAGTTTGGGTCCATTTCTCCCAGGTAAACAAACTGTCCCTGCTGCAATTCTTGGAGAGGGCACATGCCCCAAGAATTGCAGCAGGAGCACTTTGTTCACCAGGGAGGAATGGACCAAAGTTATGATTAGGAATTACACCCAGCAGGGGGATTTCAGCCATTGTGCTCATTAGAATTTTTTCCTAGGCTGTACAGGCATACAGCTGCAGTCTTGTGAAAGTGAAAGGGTAGCAAAAGGAAGATACTTGTTTCTGATTTGGCCTATATTACCGAATACCACCAAAGCTAAGCCAAAGAGTTTCACATGTTCCAATTTAGAAAAGTTTATTTCATAGGAGCTTGGAGTGTTTCCAGTCATTTCTTATTTTTCTGATGGAAAAAAAAGTGAAGTCCTTTGGGAAAAAACAACAGGAGAGGTCTTTTCCAAATTGTTCCACTATTCAAATGCTTTGATTGAGAGATCTTTCTTACAGATTATGTCCATACTTTTGATAGAAAGTTAACATGGCAAATGGCTTGCTTCTCAATGAACGAGCATGGAAAGTGTAGAGCAGTGCTTCCCATCCTTGGGTCCCCAGAGGTTCTTGGACTACAAATCCCAGAAATTGTGGCACGATAGCTAGTGGTGAAGGCTTTGGGGAATTTTAGTCCAAGAACATCTGAGAACCCAAGGTTGGGAACCCTGGTGCAAAGGCTTATCAGAGAAAAATAAACAGTCATATTCTGCATGTGTCTCAGTTCCAATGTAGCCTTTGTCTGTAGAAATACTAGCATGCTGTCAACCTTAAATGTGTTTTCAATGTCTTTGTTTCTCTGTTACGTAGGAGAATGACTCAGGAACACTGGATACTGTTGGAGCAGTTGTTGTCGACCAGGAAGGCAATGTTGCTGCTGCAGTCTCCAGTGGAGGCTTAGCTTTGAAACATCCAGGAAGAGTTGGTCAGGTAGGTTAGACCAGAGTGTATAAGTTCAGTGGCATGTTGTCATTTTTTGTATGACACTCATGATCAAAACAGGAACTAGTTGAATCATATAGTTTTCAACCTACTAAAAGTCATGTATAGCAGTGCAATGTTGTGCATTACAGTAATGGGATGGTATAGAAGTTAAATCAATCAACCAATCAATCATAAACAGGGTGAATGAATTTTGGAGATGGGATATTTAGAGGACCACCTGCTCCTGAGAATTTTGCTTGCCAGTTGAGATAACGGCCAATCAACCATGCTTCACATGTCACGCTTCCTAATGTTAGTGGCAATGCAAGATAAAATTTTGTAAACACTGTTGTTCAAACCTATTTCCTGGAGAAGACCACCCAGCTCCCCCTCCTCATTTTCAGAAGGTAGCAAAGACACCCTTATTTAGGCAGAGTTTCAATTCAGGATAATTAATACCCTCTCTCAAAACTTGAGTTTCTTTTTTTTTTCTTTTTGACTCCTCTCATGACATGTTTGTTGCTAAACACCTAAATGTGTATTAGTTTGTTCTAATACAAGTAAGCAGTACTACCCCTGAGAAAACTTTAAAAATCTATGCTCAGGCAACACTGTTATCAGGAATTATATGCTCAAAACTGTGGAGAGGCATTCAAGATCTCTGTATCCTTAAACAAAAATGTGTGTGGTTTTTTTGGGTTTTTAATCTTTACCTTATAACCATAGTGCAGTTTTTAAATGAAGATATAGTCATTTTTACTGCTGTGTAAGTGTTATAATTTGCCTAGTTTGTAATGTCACTTGTTGGAGAGAGTTGAGATGGAAGGAAAAAGCCCTTCATAATGTTCAGTAATTTATTCGCATTGCTGCCTAGAAAAGCTCCCAGACAGTTTTGAGTACAGTCGATTATTGAGATGTTGTAACAGGCTACAAACTTTCCTCAGTTCTTTCTTTAAATTCTTAAATGCTGAAAGTGCCTTGATACTTTCATTGAAAAGAAAGCTGTTTCCAGTATACTAAGTGAATGGTTATCCCAGCATTGCAAGTGTAACGATGGAACTATAATTTCTGGTACTTTCAAAAACAGTTGTCCCCTCTCCCATTTATAATGCAGACCAATACTCAGTGTTCCCAGTATGACTTGTTTCTATTTTCATTGATCCAGAGGTTTCCCTCTCCTGGTTTATTAGACTAAGATCATTGTACTTGGTCCACCTTCTTCTGTTAATCATGTGGGTGAAAGGATTGATTGTACTAAAACCAAAGCATGAAAATATACTGTATTTATTTATTTATTTATTTTATTTATATCCCGCCTATCTAGTCGATTGACCACTCTAGGTGGCTCACAACAAAGGCTCACTGTATCTTCTGCAGACAGTGGAAAAATGTAGAACTCTTCAGTTAATTCATTCAGTGCTTGAAAGGATTTTACCATAATACTCCTTACTGGTTTTTAATCCCTGAATTTACAAATTAAATCTTTCCCTCTTGCTTTTTTGAATGATATACCCTTCTTGCCCTGTATATAGTAGATTGTATTTTCCTGTCACCTGCTCAAACGATTTTCTCTTTTTTATCACATTTTTTTCCTGTCAGGCAGCTCTTTATGGATGTGGCTGCTGGGCTGAAAATGTTGGAATTCAGAATTCTTACTCTACAGCTGTGAGTACCTCAGGTATTTACTAGTCTTATAAATATTTGGCTAGAATTTATCCCTTCCTGCATTGCACAGTTATTTAGAACACTTTATTGCTTTGTATTAATGTCTGTAAACTTCTACTTTCTTTCAGCTAGAGTCTGTCTTCCGTCCAACTAGTGTCGTGTTTCCCTGAAAATAAGACAGGGTCTTATATTAATTTTTGCTCCAAAAATGCATTAGGCCTGATTTTCAGAGGATTTTTTTTCATGTACAAGAATCTACATTTATTCAAATACAGTCATGTCATCATTTTCTGGTTGCTGCACAATGGTGGATAGCAGGGTTTCACTTATCTGGGCTTATTTTTGGAGTAGGGCTTATATTACAAGCATCCTGAAAAATCATACTAGGGCTTATTTTCAGGCTAGGTCTTATTTTCAGGGAAACAGGGTAGTAGTGCAGATTCTGCTCTTATTTATATCTAAAATGTGCAGGTGCACAGGAGTCTCTAGAATGCACTGGAAAAGCACTTCACATTAAAAAACATAATTATAAATGCATCTCTATATACATAATTACCGTATTTTTCGCACCATAAGACGCACTTTTCCCCCACAAAACAAGGGGGTGGAAAGTCTGTGCGTCTTATGGAGCAAAGAAAACAGATTATATTTTCCTGTTTTCTTCTCCTAAAAAATTGGTGCATCTTATGGAGAGGTGCGTCTTATGGAGCGAAAAATACGGTATGCATGAATGCATACTGATTTAATTCAGATCCAATGCTAATGCTAAACTGTATAAGCCTCTAGCTGCTGTATTTTTTTACTCCCTCGTTTCTTCTGGCATCACTGTGAGGAGATTGAAAACATTTTTTTCCCATTGCCTGTGATTATTTTGTTTATCTGTGAACTTGAAATGATAGTTACTTTTGATTAGGTTTAAGGAAACAAGCCTGGGTTTAAATTGCAGTTTGAAGTTGGCTTGTTTTCTAAGCTATTGTTAAGTCTAACCATAGTTTGTCCATGTTTGAACATAGTAACTGCATTATGTTAAAATGAGTAGAGCAACTGTGGTGTTCCAGATGTTGCTCAACTGCAACTTCCTGCACTTTACTGGAATCCTCATTATAGGCTATGTCAGCTAGGGCTGATATTTGAAGTCCAATAAAAACTGGAGGGCTATACATGCCCTACCCCTGTTTGGAAAGAAGAAAAAGCCTCCCTATCTCCTCCTTGCAGCCACACTTGAAGTGGAGAAGAGGAGGTAGCTTGTAAGGTCTAATTATGCTTACAAAACTGATGACTAAGCTGTAGTTTTAATATAATGTAGTTTTGATGTTATGTCCAAACAAGTCAATTTTCTCTGTACTATGGCTGTATGCAAATAACATTGAAAAAGTTTCCATTTTGATTGTGGGAACAGAAAAATACAATGGACAGTTTCACCAAATTTTTCGAAGATGAGAAACCCTTGAACTGTCTCAGACACAGGGTTCAGTGTTAGCTGTGGTTGCAGCATAGCTTCCTCCCCCTCCCCCCACATTTTTGTTCTGTTTGTTTTTTGTACTTCTACTTCAAGCAGCTTTTCTGCCAGTCAGCCTTGCCAACATTTTCCTCTACAAAGCCCTCTACCTTGTTTTATTCTGGGATACTGGGATGGTGATGAAGGTGGCAGTCAAGAGATGGCCAACAAAAGAGTAGTGAAGAAATTGTGGAACAAATTATCTGAAAGTATCCTTCTGTTTCTAGGGAAATAAGACCAGCAGCTGTTTTGAACCTATGGAGGGATGGTGGATCTTAAGACAGACTGCTCTAGATGCCTGATAGAGCCTTATGGTTTTGTGAACATACTTGAAGAGCTTTGTATTTTGTTTGTTGATGGTACTGATGGTCCTCTCAGAACAACTGATTTTAGTTGTTCTTTTTAGGGTTTTCTGTTTGTTTGTTTGGTTTAATACATTTATATACTGCTGACTTAATGTGAGGTACTATTCTGAGAGGTTACAGGACAATCAAACAATAATAATAACTGTAACCTCATCCACCCAGCTTATGAACATTAAACATCCCTAAATGAACCCATACAATAAATACATAAAACCCCAAATTGTAATGAATGTGTAATTAAATTTGTTTTATTTGCTCCTTCTGTTAAATGTTATAGTGATGGTAAGCTGCCGAGAACAGTGCCTGATAGTAGGAAGGTAGGAGGAATTGTAATGAAAAAAATTAATGCTTCTTAGGAAGAGGTCTGTTCAGCAAATTTGGCTCAGAACTTGCTGATTTTCTTAGAGATCTAGCATTTCCTTCAGGGTCACCAAAATGTTATTTTTTCTTTGTGTGGGGTTAGCTCTATATGTTTTTTTTTGTATCCACTATAAATGGTTATATAATACAGCGGTCCCCAACCATTTTGGAATTGTGGACTAGTTGGGGGGGGGCGCAAGTGTGACATGCCCCCATAAGCGTGAAACCCCCTCCCGTGAGCATGACACACCCACCATATGTGCAGGGGGGGGCGGAGATCCCTCTCCACGGCCCAGTCCTGGGAAGCCCACAGACCGGCACCAGGACATGGACCAGGGGTTGGGGACCCCTGATATAATAGCTTCCTGTCCTGTTTATATGGCAGACCTAAGGATGGGGCATGGGGAGTATTGTGGCCAGCTCCAACAAAAAAATGAGTGTAATATTGGGCCATAATTTATTCTCCAATTTCCCAAATTCCTCATGAAAGAATTTTCAGTTTTTTGCCTCATTCTCTGAGCTCATAGAATTCCTTCTGTTTTTATTTTTGAATGTAAACATAACAATGCAAAATGGCCAGAAGCTCCAAGTTTGTTTTTTCATTCTCTTCCATTATCTCTTCATAACTCTATAGCTTCCCTGGCTGCCCACACTTTCTTGAAAAGGTCTTGTGAGAAGAGTCTCCTTTTTTTGTAACATCTTCCCAGGGGCTTCAGTAGAGGTATGGGAAGCTGAGGAGGGTGCTGGCTGCAAACAGAGATGATTATACAGGGAAAGACAGGTTTTGCACACGCTCACTGCCCTTTTCCAAAGTCAGGTAAGCGCAAGGATCTTGAATCTCAGTGATAAGAACTTCTCTGAAATTCTTTTTCTTTTGAATTTTTTTTCTGAAGGGGAATTCTTTTTGATCAAATTGAAAAAGAATGACAACATTCTGATGAGAGATTTCTTGTGTGGACAACACTATTCTATATAGACATAGGCAAACAAACAAGCCCAACAGTTGAACTTTTCTCATTGTGTTCACGAAGTGGTTTTCTTGTTTTCTGGTCTGCTTGGTGGAAAACCCAAGACAATGTGGCAGCCAGCCAGGAAGATACGTGTCATTGGTGTGTTTGCCTATTCACAATTGTATAAAGCCAACATGATTCTAGCCATAACGTTCAATCCTCATATTTTGGACACAGTTTTAATATTCTTATTAATTTTGAGAGGCCCAAAATGGTGATTTGCAGTCGGCCTCTGCAGGAGCATCTATTTTTGTTCGCTACTGCAGAGATCTTATGGACACTTACATATACAGAAAATTGACTTCATATAGGAAACTTGCAGGTGTTGTATTCTTTTACTGGAGAGCTGCTATGCATGGTACGGACTGATGCAAATTGGGAAGGGAAAGTTAACTCCAAAGAGACAGAGAAAAGCTGAAGGGCAACAGTGAAGGTTGAAATATATAGAGAAAAAAGAACAGCTATATTCAAGTCAAGTCAGCTTAGCATTACTCTTTTGAAAAACAAGTGTAGTGAATGTGCATTGTATTTGCAGTTGTCTTCCTATCAGTTCTGTAGAAGAAGCCTGAAGTGCATCTTTCTGCTTATTGCAGAATATGATGTTATGTTTCTGAGGTTTAATTAAGAAAGCATCATAAGTAGCTTTTTTTTTGCAACCATTACTGTTCTTGTAAAGAAAAAAAGACAAACCTTATAATATGTGCACAGCAATGCATGTGTTCTTTCTCTTGTTTAGGTGCATGTACTACTTTGGTGGATCCTCAGAGTAATCAATATGTTGATAGATTTTTCATCTGATGTTTATTCCTGAGATAATTGTCTTGCAGCTCCCCTGTATTTCTGTCTCCCTTGTTCTCGGAAGAGAATGGGTGGCAGGGAAGGTATAGGGTGCACAAACTGTGAATACCCACTAGCCACAAACAAACAAACAAACAAACAAGAAGCCCTGCAACAATTTTCTGGGAGAAGGGTAGGATTTTCTGACAGAATTGCAAGGGAGCCAATATTTTTGGCCATGACTGTATATTAAAATTATGCTACTGCAACTTAACATCTATCACTGGTTGAGAAAATCCATCTAGCTGCCTCTGCTTCATTTAGGAATGTTAACTGAATATTTAGAAAAGCCCCACCTGTGTTCTTTTAAGTGCTATCTGAATAAATTTTGCTGCTTGTGGTGGAGACGAAATGTTGTTCCACCCATTGCTAGAGCCAGCAGCTTTTAAATGTCTCGCTGTACCATTCAGGCACTAATTCATGCTTTTATTTGTATGATCCACAGTCACAAGCACACACATGATGCATCCTTACACATGTTGCTTCATCCTGCTGTGTGACAGGACTGAGTGGTTAGTACTGTAGCTGCACACCTGCCAGGCGATTTTTGTAAAAAGTACATAAATGACATTGGTCTACATGGGTGGGGTAGAAATCAATCAAACAAACAAACAAACAAACAAACAAACAAACAAACAAACTAGACCTAGTACACAATGCTGCTTCCAGATTGGGGTATTGGGAGGTTGGGGGAAGCATATTTTTGTCTTAAGGTGATATTTTCTATTTTTGCAGTGGCAATGCTTGAAATGTCCAAGAATTGTTCCTATGGTGCCTATTCCAGATGTTCATCCCATCGACCAGATGTTTGTGGTAGATGGGCTGTACATCTTGGCTATTGCTTTAGTGATGTTTAAGGCAGTCTGTCCCTAACCACAACAAAGCCCAGGTTTGCATAACTGCTTGCTCACATCCATCCTTTGATACCTCTCACTTCCTCTCC